TTTCTATTTTTCATTGTTTTCTGTTTTTCTTTGAAGATAGAAACTGGCTACTGACTTTTCATTATCACAATTCAGTAAGCTGTATGTATAAACTGAGTCCTCTTATTTAATTTAAAGTCTCTTTTTACATATTTCTACCTCTGTTCTTTTAAAGACACATGCAGTTTGAATGGAGAAAACATTTAAATCTTTTAGACAAGATGAGATAGGTTGTTCAAAAATTACTTTTTCTTTTAGTGCTGGCGTACATTCTGAGGTTGCTCATTCCTACTTCCATATCATACTTTCAGTCAGGGTAGTGTGACTGTGTATCTGCATGGTAAACTGCATCCAAAAATGATTCCGTGAAAAAAAAAAATTAACTGCAAACAGTTCCTGAGGAAGGGGTTATTAAGGCTGAAAGAAAGGCCTATGAAATTATGACTGTGACTGGGAAATGTATTCAGGCATTCCATCGTGAAAGACACTTTGCTCAGTCTGAAAGAGCACCAAGTGCAGACTAAACAGGTTAGAGTCACTTGCTCCCAGATAATTGGATTATGTGATTAATTAAAGAACTTGAGGAGCAGAGAAAGGTCTTTGAAAGGAGAGAGGTGACAAACCAATATGGAACAGAAGAAGCATTAGCTCTTGTGGAATTAGAGCAAGCTGTAGCTATAGTTGTGGCTAGAGTTAGTGTGGTTCAAAGGCTATTCCTATCATTGTTGCTTGAGTACTTACTCAACATACTGAGATTTCTTGCATAGTGTATATTCCCTGAATTTTTTAGAATTACTTAGCTTTGACATAACAAATCTTTTCTGTCAGTGGGAAAAGTTATTAGAATTATCTCTTCTATTCAAATTCAAAAATTTGGTCTCATTTGGGGTTTTTTATAAAAGAGTGGATTTTGTTAATTAGTAAAAATCATCTAATGAGCAGACCTATGGTAAGAAACACCTTCCTGTGTACCAATATTTTCTGTAGAAGAGACTGATTCTTCTTAGGTGTTGCAAGCATCTAGTCAGAACTCATCATCTCAATTTCCTTTGTGGTTAATGGAAAGGGAGAGAGAGATGAAATCCATCAGGTTACATTTCCATCCCTGCTGGTTTAGGATGAGATAAACTGCTTTCTGAAGAAGAAAGTGTCTCTTGGGTTATCAGAGGGAGCATAGGTCTATGTATGCACTAAGTATTTTCAGGCAGCTAAAGCTGTGGGAGGCGAATCCCACTGAATATGTCATTTGTTAAGGTCATTGTGTGGGCTGTGACATAAACTTTATGGTGTATGTTTCTTGTATAACTTTCATTTATATTTCAGCATGGCTGTTGTAATCAGGTAGCCTTGCTGGTTATATGAATAAGCAGTTCTCTTGCCTCCTCTGCGTGCCACACACATGGGAAATCTATAGCAAACTGTACGATTAGTGAAAAAAAAGGTTTTACTTTCCTCTATTAGCTTGTGAAACAGCTCAGATTAATTGCATGTCACCTTGTTTTTCACATGAAGAAGCAGAAATTAAGCATATTTTGTTAGTCTTTCAAGTCAAATCATACAAGTATTTTTGGAGTTTCTTTCTCTGCTAACTTTTGTGAGAGTCCTCCTTTTGCCTACCAAAATCTTACTGTTCTGCAATTATGCTAAGAAACACAGTATTACAAGCTTGAACAGTACAATAGGTTTTTATAATAGCTTTGGAATATTTTTCCTGTTATTTTCCATCTCTTATGTATGCAAACAAGGTGTTAGCTGTTATGATCAGTGATACCAACTGAGCAAATGTTTTCCTTGAGCTTTCCATGCTGATGCACAGGTATGGCTTTTGTTTTTCCTGAGCTGATAACAGCTCACTTTACCCCTACCATCGAGCTGTTTGAATTAATCCCTTTTGTGTGCATTGCTTTGCATTTGTTAGCATCTAAGGGTATTCGTTGCTGATGTTGAATCACTGGTAGCTCCCACACATGGAACAGTAGATACTGCAGATACTAGAATGCATGGCAAAGAATGACCAAAACTGCTAAAGGGCTGCCACTCTACCTCCTCAAGAGAACTAGGCAGAGTCTTGTGCCTGTTTCCTGTGTTGGAGGAATGTCAGCAAAGTCCTGGTTTCGTTTCAGTCAGGCATTTATCTTACCCACACATGAGAAGACTATATTCATTCTGCCTTTTGACAACTTCACTGTGGTCTCTTAAGACCTTCTGCTGTCCTGAGTTACTTAGGATAAGGAAACTTTTGGATTTGATTCAAAACAGTGCTTAACTTAAACCCCATCCTGGCTTCTGCCCTGGTTTTTTCCAAGTGATTTCAAACCAAAGAAGGCTGCACACCATGTTGTAGTTCCACTGAGATTTGGGGGTTTCAGATGCTTAAAGAGCAATTTAGGGTGCTTTGCTGAGAGCATAGATTAAAGTGTTATAAAAAACAGTGCTGTTCAGGTTCACAGAAGGCTGAGAAATTTTGCAAAACAATGTATATATATTTGTAGTGAAATTCACATATTTTTATACAAATACTTCCATGAAAATCCAAATTAGATCTCAAAATGAAACACTGATGTTTTGTTTATAGCATCTTTCACCATTCATATTTGCCTTCAATTCTGATATTTTATTCCTTCAGCATGACACAGATATTATTTTTCCCACATTCCATATGTCCAAATCACATATAAAGATATTTAGTTCAAATACCATGGGTGTGAAACATTCCACACTGTGGGTCCAGGGTGGCGTTTGGCATGTCTTTAATGTGCTATGGTGTTCAATTACAATACAGCAAATTTATTTTTATGCAGCCTTCTTCATTGAAAGTATGGAAAATTGCTTTGCAGTGAGTCATCTGACAGCTAAAGAACTAAAAGTCTGTAGTGACATTTAAAGAGAAAGTGGCTCAGAGCTGCCAGAGTTCAAGACAGAAAAAGAAACAGAAATTAAAGAGAGAGCCTCCAACCATGGAAAAAATAGCAACAAAGACTGGTTAGGGGGAGGAGTGATGAGAAAGCCAAACACGCTGAGAATGTCTGAGACAGTTCAGGAGATTTTGCATATCATTCTGAAACAAGCATTAGGCGTCAGATGTTTCTCCTGTATCACACCTGCCTTAGCCAAGCAAGGTGGCTTTGACCCTAAGAGAATGGTGCAAATCTAGATAAAGAAGAGTACAAGACTCAGGGCACTGTAAGGAATCTAGAAGCATGCAGGTAGGGGTTGAGGGGAGGATAAATGTCTTAACTTTCTAGAGCAAAACATTGGAATGTGATGTTTTCACCTTGTCTGAATGCCAGCACCCACCAAAGCCATTCTATTACTGTCCTCCTCAGCTGGACAGAAGATAGAAAAATTTACTAAGGGTTCACAAGATAAGGGCAAGGAGAGATCACTCACTGATTTCTGTCATGGTCAAAACAGACTCAACTTGGGGAAACTAGTTGAATTTATTACCAATCAAAACTAGAGCAGGATAGTGAAAAGTAAAATCAAATCTTAAGAGCACCTTTCTGTTCTCCCCTCCTACAACCCCCATCTTCCCAGCTTAACTTTATTTCCAGTCCTCTACTTCCTCCCCACCAGCAGTGCAATGAGATGGGGAGTGAGGCTCTTCATCTCCTCAGGGAAAGGAGTCCTTCCCCTTCTCCAGCATGGAGTTCATCCCATGGGAGACAGTCCTCCAGAATGAGTCCTTCCCACAGACTTCAGGGGAATATGCTTTGGCATCTGGAGCACTGCCTTCTCCAATGACCTTGGTGTTTTATCCCCTTCTTAAGTGCATGATATACATACATACATGCATGGTGTTACTACCATCACTGATGACTCAACCTTGGCCAGCAACAGGTCCATCTTGGAGATGTCTGACACTGGATCTGCTGGACACAGAGGAAGCTTCTGGTAACTTTTCAGCTTTTCACTGAAGTCATCCCTGTAGCCCCTGTCACCAAAATCTTTTCCTGCAAACTCAATACATAGAAGAAAACTGGCATTCTTCAATCCATGATGTTTAAATGTGTGAGGATTTTGTTAGACCATGAATGAGGGAATTACAGTTAGTAGACAGCAATTAATTTCGACATGAATATGGGCTTCAGCAGCAGAGCACTCAGAGGAAAGATGGGTTTTGGCTTCTGGCTAAATCTTCCTTGGCTACTGGTAGAGGGGCTAATCCTCAGAAGTGAGTGTGTGGGAGGAGCAATCAGTTCAGGGTCAGAGATAAAACTTGGGCTTTTTGTACAGGGATAAGATCTGAGTAAAGAAGTGCAAAAGCTGTCTTGAAGAGCAAGAGGGACTTATTTCCTGTGATATCTGAGACTTCTGAAGAATTAGGTAGTAAGGAAATTATAATGTAGCAAGGGAACAACAGAACCACACAGGCTGTTGAAGAGATTAGAGCTTACCAAGGTCACTTTTGCCTTGCACATTTTCCTATAAAGTTGATGTCCAAAACTGAGCAAGCAGTAAGATACCCCAAAGGAGAAGAATGTTTAAGGAGGATAAAAGAGATGACTCAGAAACAGATGTCTGGTGTTCTTAAAGGATAGCACTGTCATGAATGGATATCATCAATATAAACACTATCATCTTTTATTGTAAATTAGGTATATTCTTCTTGTGTTCTTGGTCAAGTCTATCAACTAGTGGTGTGGGACTGTTTGGGGAATTCTCTCATGTCATGTTGCCCAGTCTGCCCAAATTATTTTTTGCTCTGGGGATTCTTTTGACCTCGCTCTATATAGAACCATATTATCTGCCTTAAGAAAGTAAATGAGATGTAAAGTATGTAGCATGAAGGAGAATACAGTCTTTATTGAAAGCAGAAGGGAAAAAAACTTGTCTTTTTAATGCATTCAGAAAAGTTGACTTTGACATTGTAGTACTGAAAGACACTGTAAGCATAAAAGAAAGGCTAGAGCCACTCAGGTATCCCAGAATTTGAAGGGTATCATATTTCATTGTAGGCAGTTCTAAAATGCTTATTACAAATCTTATTTACAGCTCTCATGTCTCTTTTGAATCCACAGAAGAAGAATATCAAGGGCAAACCAAGAGAAAGCGAATTCGAAAGAAGAAACAAAAGAGCAGTTTACAAATCTCTAGTAATTTACATGGAGAACAAACAGATTTGGGAATGCAAGAGACTGTTGTTCAAGATAATTTACAGCTGCAGCAAACAGACGGTCCCAAAATAAGCAAAAACAAAAAGAGGAAAATGAAAAAGAAGCGACAGAAAGAAAAGAAGAGAGCAGCTGGCTTAGTAACAAAAACTACCAGTCTGGAGTTTACATATCAGCCTGACAAAAACAACAAAGAAGAAGCAGCAGGCTTAAAAGACATAGGTGAAAAGGCAGATAGCATTCTGGACTTCCTGCAGGCAACACAACAAATCTATTTTGCTGACAGTATGTACCACTCTTTCTCCTTTCTTTTTGTGAGTATTACCACACAGGGGAAAATGGATATGCATTTATTACTGCGGTAAAATGGGACAAATCTGCTTAAGAGAAGTGTCCCTATGAAGAGAGACATGTGAGAAGAAGTAAGGCATGTGAGTACCTAGTATTTGTCCCACTTTCTGGTGTGTACATAAATATGTAAGAATTCACATCAATAGAAAAAAACTGTGGTCCTCTGTCTTTAAAAATATACATGATGTTCCTTGTTCTTCTCTTAAACATTCCAATGCACTTGAGACAAGTGGTTAAAATTCTTTTCCCTCTGCAAGCAAATATCCAGAAGGATTACTTGCTTTCAGAGAACTTCAAATAAGGGTAATTGCTATCTTAAACTACTTTCATGCTTAGTATCTCTGCACCAAACTACTTTTCAGAATGTTCTGCTTCCTAGGAGAAGATTTATTTGTGTTCTATAAGGAAATCTAGACAGACAGCATGTAACAGAACAGGGAAGATACTATTGGCTCTGGGAAAGTATATTGGCATAAAATACTTGTGAACAAGATGAATGGCAATTGGTGCTCCATGCACATTCCCTAGTACTTTCTAAAGAATTGCATGGATATGTCTCTAATAGCCTATCCAATGTTCACTGGTCACTGTGGAGCCGAACAGAGAATATTAAATAGCTTACCTACCTGTCTTAGTCCATCTTAAGGCAGAGCTGTCAGCTTCTAGTACCATAAAATCCATGTTTTGGTTATAGAATTACTGTAAAAAGCTTGTTAAGATGAGATCAGGGATTTCATTAACTTTTTCAAGATTTACACATAGAATTTTCTTTACTTAATGTTAAATGTTCTTGCTGCATCAGGTCTCATCCTAAGCATAGCATTTGGAATCTATCCTAATTTTTGGCTAAGGTATTTCCATCACCAAAATTAAGAATTTTACTACTTCGCCATATGGCTAAGTAAATGCAAGCTAAGCTACTTGCATTTGCTGTAGTGGAACTACACAGTGACTGAACAAGATTACAAATTTTTCAAGATCTGCTTTTAATATATGACCCAGAACAGAAACCTGATGAATTGTCCACAGCTATGTTGCTTGTTGATTTTTAAGGAAGGTTGTTGTTGAATTTCCAGCTTTCCTGCAAGTCAAGTTCAGGTTTTGGCAGTTTTTGACAGACAGGCTCTAGTTTCAAACCAGCATATTGGAGTGTTGATCCAGTGAGGTTCTTGGAATCCACAGAGAGGAATTCTTAGGTGAAAAGAATTTAATCTGTAGATGAGATATGACATCTATAAATCAGAGTGTCACTAACTTTCTTATTAGGCAAGTCCCCAGTTATATATAGATCTGACATTATGCTGTTTGCCTTTTCTAGTTGAATGACTTTAACACTCTCTGGTTTTTTTAGGTAAAATTGGAAGCCATTGCTTTTAGCTGCATTTTCAAGTGGCCATGTTGTATTATACTTCTAGTGCATACATTAAAAATCTGAATGGGGAAAATTCTGTACTTCTCAGGTGTCTTCCTGGTAAAAAAAACAGAATTAAAGGGAGTCTGGTTAAAGGGACAGACAGTACATTGTTACTGGAATGGAAGAATGAATTTCTGGTTTAGTACTGTATAAACAATTGTATTGGGTGTGGCTTAGCTGGAGTTCATTTGTGAGCAGCCCTCACAGTGCTTTGGAAAGGTGTTGATAACACACCAAAGTTTTGGCTACTGCTGGGGCAATGCTGCCATCTTATCAGCACCATCTCTCAAACATTCCCCTCCATCAAGGGGCTGGGAATGGACACGACCCTGGGAGAGGACACAACCAGGCCAGCTGACCCAAATTAGCCAGAGATATTCCATATCAGATGATGTCAGCTCAAACATAAAAGCTGAGGGATGGAGGAAGAACAGGGAGCACTCGTTCTTTTACAGAGTTTGCCTTGAGAGCAGCCACTGCATGGCTGAAGCCGTGCATCCTGGGAAGTGGCTGAACATCACTCGCTGGTGGAAAATAGAGAATAAACCTTTTTTCATCTTTAATTATGTGTGTGCAACTATCTGCTAGTTTTGGTTGGATTTTTTTGTGCTTTGGGGGTTTTTTTAGCAAACGGCCTTATTTCAACCTATGAGTTGCTTCTGATCTCATTTTCTCTGCCCTGTCCTTCTGGGGAGTGATGGAGCATCTTGGTGGGCACCTGGCATCCAGCCGAGGTCAACCCATTACAACAGTGTAATGTCTTGCATGCTGTAATACTTGCTTTTTAAATAAAAACATAAAGGTGCAGTACCAAAGTAATTGTTTGCCTCCAGAAGTGCTTTGCAGTAGTTCCACAGAATTGTTCCCTTTTCGACATGTGTGTTCAGTTTGTAGTATCTAATGCGTAGGAAGCAAAAGCACAGTGCTTTGGCCACAGTACAGTTTCTTCTTCACACCGTTTTTCTCTGCTAACTTTGAAAATTTTATTCTTTTTGCATTTCTATCATTAGAATCCTATTGTCCTTTTTACTTACTAATTTTTGTAGTATGTGTTTTACCATTGTTTTAATATTAAAAAAAAATGTTTAACAAGCTACTCTTTAATACCTGATATTGGGTTGCCATTTGTACTGAAAAGGAAGATGCTGTCTTAGGAAAAAAAAATTAGAATTAGGAAAATTCTCTGAGTTCACTGAATATTTTTAACATAGTTTTCTAACTGTTTTTGCAGAGAAATCAGAATGCAGAGATGCTGCTGTAAATTCAGCAACTGCCCAAGAGCTCTTACAATGTCTTGAATTTCGCACCATCTCTTCCTCAGATGTGACTCATCTGCATCGGCTGAAATCCCTTGTATTGCTACAGGATATTGAGAGATTGAAGGATGCTTTGAAACAATTCCAGGAACAGTCTATGATGTCTCCTGGTAGGTACTATTCACCCAAGTTCATACACTGATATTTTTGTGTGAATTAAAATTCACACCACTTTATTTATTTATTTTTTAATTAGGAAGCTGTAAATAATGATGTAATAGTAAATATGTGCTTACACAAGATATGCAAGCATAATCCCCACCAAAAATAAGTGAGATCCTTACTTCTCATTTGTTAACAATCAATATAGAAGCTTTTTTCACTTTGAAGCAACTACAGAATACAAGATGATTTGGGGATTTAAACCAATATTTTTAAAATCTGAAGTGTTTTAAGATTTAATTATATTTAAAGCATTACCATGGTAGACTTTTCAAATTTCAGGATTTCAGGCCTCCAGCTAAGGGTTCATTTTACCTGCATAAGAATCAATAAAACCCATTATTTTATTTCTTCCTGGTCACCACATGGCTTCTTTAATGCACAGACTTTGCAAGCTAAATTTTGATTTACATTTTTAGTTTTGTTTAAGTTTCTAAAACATACTGTTGATAATGTAAAAATTAAAAGTTACTCTTTATAACAAATGATATTCTGAAGTCATTCATAAAAAGAAAAATTAATGTGTTACTAAATTTTTTCATGCCTGAGGCACAGGCTCCTTCTGTTTTCTATTACAACCCCTATAATTTTTGTAGAATCTCTTCTTGCACAGTTAAGAGTTCTTCATGTGAATGTAGTAGGATCAGCATGTAGTCCACATGAGATAATGATTCATTTTCCATGTAGTCTTCATTTAAACAGTCATTGCTACTAGTCATTAGAACTTGTGTTGCAGCATCAGTCAAAAATCTACAAGATGTGCTGAATTTTCTTGCCTCTCAAAGAATTTAATCAGAGTTGAGAGCACTTGGCTACAGCATGAGAGAATCTCAACATTTTAGATTGTACTCTTCAGTCTTTTGAAGAGTAACTGCAGAAATGGTAGCAGTGTGGTAACAGTGTAGTTAAGATCATTGCCATCCAAAGATTAACAACAGCATTCAAAGAAGAGACATCTGCTTGTAACTTCATTAAATAATTTACAGCATGATAATGGCCTAAGATCCTCATCAAGCCTGGAGTCTACTGAATGCTGTGTGTTGGACAAAGAGAGAATTCCTGCCTGTGGAGTTCAGATCTGACACATTTTGAAAAGGATGCTCTTAGAGAAGTACATATGTATTCCTTTAAGGGTATGACAACCCTTAAGGTTCTGAAGGATGTGAAGTATCCACATATACATGAAATGAAATCCTTCTGTGCATTTCAAGCCTACAATCTTTGATCTTAATTTTAATCACATTGTCTCATTGGATGTAATACACATGTGCAAACCAAGTGGAACTCAGCAGGTATCATGAAAATGGTATTGTCCTTTATTGAATGAACTAATTCAGCTTTTCTTGATTAAATCCAAATGAAATTGACATGACAACATTCAGGATATTCTTTACAGGCTTATCTAACTTTTATACAATACAATACAGTTGGAGTTCTGTTGAGTTTTGCAGCCTCGAGACAAGTGGCTCTGTTTACTTTTGTACAGCAGAAATGTCAAAATGAAGAAAGAAAAACAGAAGCAAATTAAAACCCCTAATTTTCCAATGGATGTGTTCATCACTTGAAAAAGCAGAAGACAATTTTCTGTGTAATTTTTAAAATTCAATAATGTTGCTCTTGGTACAGCCTGGAATTGTTTACTCTTCCAGTTGATTTTTTTTTCCCTAGTAACTGCTGTCACTCTGTGCTCAATTCTCATCTCATTCCAAGTTCACAGTGGTGTAACCATAGTAGTTTGTTTGATATTCATGAGGTACAAGAACATAAGAAAGAGGAAAAATACATTCTTATAAATTATTAAAGGATAATTAAGCACCTGCTAGTCATTAATTTTCCTCAGCAGACTTTAAAAAATACATTCTAACTGTAATTTTGGAAATTCAGTGAATGCAAATACAATGCTCTGAAATTTTACTTTGAATTACACCTTTAATTATACTCCTTTTTTTCTCCTACATTTGGCTCAAAATCAGGTCATCTTGTCCAGTGCAGGATTTTTAAATTTTAGTTTTCACTCCCAATGAGCAGGTGATAAAAGTTATTACAGAGAACTTTGTAATATAATACCTTTCTATAATAACAACTTGAATTTTTAAATACAACCTTTGTTATATTAACAAATTCAAGTTCTTATTATAGAAAGACAAGTTAGGGCAGTTCATGAAGGTAAAAATGTACAGTACATAATAGTAATCTAATTTTTTTATGGCTTTGTCTTATTATCTTGTCTTTTCTCTCCTTGTCTTTTGATGGGGGTGCAAAGTACTAGAAGGAAAAGTCATTCCATATTAACATGATAAAAAAAAAATCCTTGATTTTAGGAAGGTTTATTATTTTTACAAAATAAACATTTTATTCCCTGTAGTTCAAGAAACAGTATGTTAAGCCTGTTTACCCTTTTTCCCATGGTTGTGATTCTACTTAAGATGCCATTATCAAGAAAGTAAAGATGGGTGCTATATTTTGTTCAGTTGTATCTTTAATTCCAGGAAGGGAAGCATAAGAAAAAAATGAGAAGAGATGCATCTCTTCATATAAATGCACATTCTCACTAGTAAAAGTTAACAAATTATCCATACTATTCTGTCTTTTATTTCCTCATATATGGATGTTATGGTTTCATCCAACTTTCCACTGGGGTTACCAAGTCCCACTTGGCAAGGTTATGCCTGCTGATGGCAAATGTGCTTTAGAATAAAGCCATGGGCTGCTCCAGGTTTGCAGATTGCAAATTCAAAACTGCTGGTTCAATACCGTGATTTGTTATTTCCTTTGCATCTCCTAGGCTGTTACTCAAATTGAAAATCACAGTGCATCCAAAAGAAAAAATAATCAAGAAATAAATTTCTCTTTTATCTTAAGCTCTAAGATCCCAATATTTGCAGTGATATAGAAGACAGTCCTAACAAGGGTGATGGTAGGGTCTGATAAATTTTGCAGGAAAAAGATCTACTAAGGAGATTCAGACACAAAAATTATCAACAGTTGATATTATCTTTTAACTCTTCATTTAAATGAGAAAAAATACTTAAGAAATACATACTAAAATCTCTATGGCTCAGAGGCCCTGGTTGTTCTGTTTAGCTGTCATCCTCCATCTACTTGTGTTGTACTTTGTTCTTCAAACACTCTGTCAAGTTGCCTTTGACCTTATATGTGAATGATCAGACAAAGCTGAGGTTGGTCAAGAGTGTTCCTGTGAGCATGGTTATTTAGAGTGTCATTGTTCTCAGTCTGTAAAAGAGAACAAAATGCCCTATTACTAGTTCCATTTATTTGGTAGTCTTTAACAAAAAAGTTCTTGCCTCTACCTCAAATCTTCTGTAAGTGCAGGGAAGAGAATGTTCAGAAGTCACATAGACATGGATTTGTCTTGGTGGCGGCTTCGCTGTTCTCTGTTAGAAAGTCCGTGGCCATTAGCAAAAGGAAGCCAGAGACCTTGGTGATCCTCCACAGTGCAGTGGGCAAAGGGGAGGAGCTGAGACTGGAAATAATGCTCCCTTTGCTGGATGGAAACTAGCTTTGGAAATGGGAGCTACTTAATTCCCATTTCACATCAATTATTAAAGCATAGGTGATCACCTAATTAAAAAAAGTCATTATCTCCTAATTTATGAACTCATTTATGAACTTCTGCTCATCAACTTCATTCTATTATCTATTAACATTTTCTCTTTGTTGGTTAGTTTCAAATCTCAAACATACTCTTCCCTTGTTGCCTAGGAAATTATCACTCGTGGCAGAGCTAGAAGCTTCTTTTAACTGCCTTTTTTTGAGAATTGTCATTTATATAAGTCTTCATTGCAGGAGGAGGTACATTTTGCAGACCAGAATTAATACAGTACTGTGTGCCAACAATGCAGAAGCTGGGTATACAGAGGCCTTAAAATGATGAAATTTACACTTGTTTTTGGGTTTTTTTTAATGAATGAGCATTCAAAGAAAAGGAAATTTGAAAACAGTATTAGCATAATATTATAGAATCATCTTAAATGTGATTGTTTTGTGATAAGTACTGCAGAAAATCCTATCATTAAAAATCAATAAAGTCACATAGGTAATCTCTGAATTAAGACAGAAGTCGTAGCATTTTGAGGCTTTAATGCAGCTATCTGTACAATATGACTCATTCTCAACTGGGGCTTCTAGGTACTACTGTAAGTTAAATAATGATGTGTGAAATTACTCTCCGGACAGAAAGAAGCCTTGTCCATATGATCACGTCATTTCAATCTCATTTTTTCTGAATTATTGAATCATAACAAATAGGAAATTTCAAAGTGTACGAGCAAAATTGTGTCTCATACAAAAGACTGACCTCCTAAAATAAAATGCACCTGCTTGTATAGAAATTCATAGGCATTAGTCTTCAAGCTCCAGTATTTGCATTGGTTTTACTGAAATGTTAATATTGAATGGAAACAGATGTTCGCACAAGTCTTTTTCTTATGTTCAGAAATGTCATGGAGGTATTTCAGGAGGAATGTGTTTTTTTTGTTTCAGATCATGCCAAGGTAGCCACATCTCTGTTTCACTACTGGATTACAGATATCCTTCCTGTGAAGAGCAGGAACTAAAGCCTTACCCCTGTGTCCATATGCGCATGATTAAAATTTAATATACAAACTCTTAACCAAGTAGCAACTCTTCAGGAGGAGCAGTGTCAATACACATTCTACACCTTCAGCTAAATGAGTTGCTTTCCTGTGTTACAGACTCCAGAAAACAATAAAGGTATAACTACAATGTGACTTTCGTGATGGGATGGTCATGAGTATGGCCTGAGTCTTCAGCTGAATCAATATGTACTTTTCACTTCAGGATAAGGGACTTTACTGGAATGGTTTCTATCTGGTATTTTATTTAAGAAATATAGTATTATCTTTTTTAGTTTTATCATTCCTTTCTGGAAGTTGTATTTCTTGACTTTTTTTGTATATCTGCTTAC